TGGTCCCTGTGCTTTGCTAAGCTTGTTCTAAGTAGGTGCTTTAGACCACTGAGCCATCTCACCAGCCCTTAGTACAGGGTTTACAGGGTCTCACTACACAGTTCGGGCTCATAGTGATCCTCCTGTTTTCAGCCTCCCAAGTGCTGGGACTACAGGTATACGTCACCACACCTTGTCTAAGTCTACATATTTCTAACTCCATTTTTCCTCTTCTGCTAAGGCAAATTCTGATATTCTTCAATAGTTTCCCTTTGCTAACAGGACAAAAGGTAAATTGTTGGCACAGCCTACCAGAATCTTAATCCAATCCATAAAGAAAAATTTACCAGTCAAGATTTTTCTTATGCAATTCTTTGCTTTGAAATTTTAGCTAAACAAATTCTGAAACAATTTTCATTTCCACAAAACACACCATACTCTAATATCTATATCTTGGTAAACGGATTCCTTTTCCCTCGAAGATTTTTCTATGGTGTTTCATTTATGGTTCTGGAACAGTCTTTCTCATCCTCTATGTCTCAGATAATCATGGCTTCTTCTATGAATGCTTACCTATCCTTCCAATAGATTTTTTTGTACCAGGGATTGAACTCAGGACCTTGTGCTCACCAGGGAGGCACTTAAGCCACTGAGCTGTCTCCTTGGCCCCTCCTTCCAGCAGATTTTATACATACCTCCATTATATACATTCTATTGGGTTTACTACTGACATGAATATTTCTTATCAAAATGTAAAATTCAAAGGTAGGAACCATGGATTTTGCTACTTTGTATGTTCAATAATTAATACAGTGCCTGGTTTTTAGCAGAAACTCAATAAATGTTAGTTGAGTAAATGAATTAGTGGATTGCAAGATTCACTTTATAACAAGTTAATGTTTACCTGTGTCATATTTGCCGCTCGATATCTTAGTCTTCTTATCATTCAAATCAGCACAAATGATCTATATATAAGAATAATAAAAGCAATGAAACAAATATACCCTCAAAAAGTTTTTAGAGGATTTGAACACTGGCTATTTTTTCACATTAATTCAGAAATTTAAGAAAATGATTAAAAAACTTATTTTAAAATTCTCCTTATACGAATCTTTTAGAATATTTTGCTGAGTTTACACACCTATAATATTCAAGTAATGGAACTTAACAAAAAAAGGGGATAGAGATGAATGTCCATTTTGTATCTCTGTATTCAAAGTGGTTAGGATAGATATATAGTTACATTCTCTTAATGAATAGAGTGATTTGTTCTAATGGTGTTAGGATATCATGTCCACATCTTGTACAGCAATTAACCACTAGGAAGAATGTATGCAATGTGTTAATTATTGAAATTGTCCTACCAATTTGACTTGAAACTGTCTCATTGCTATTTGTTTCTTAATAAGATTATGAAAAAAATTCATATTTTATTTCATTTATATTACATATATTAATTGAAGAATTGAAAGGTAAATAGAGTTCACTGCTATTGTAAAGTAACTATGTAATGCACTGATAGGCATAGAAAGTAATCAACTGAACAGTTAACAGGAATGTTTTTAGAGATCTGGAAGGTAGAAAGCAGATTCCTTGCATACATGGAATGTAATTTTTACATGGCTAAATTCTCTACTTCTGTGGGTAACTATATGGGGAGATAAGTCCAATAAAGTCCTTTACATTTTTCCAGGTCTGAAAGCTGAAAGAAGCTAGCAGAAGTACATTTTCTAGCATTAATGGAAGTGAAGAAGAAAGCTGAAAACTAGTATCATATTCAACTGTGATCAAAGTGTTCATGCTATTTCTCAAAAAAATGAGACATTTATGATACGCATAGTGGACACCATATTTCAAAGTCAGAGG